CCTGCTTTATTATTTAATAAAATATGATAATAAAAATGGGATTGTAATCCTAGTCTTGGGTTCATTTGCTAATTTATCAGAGGAAACTGCGGGAGAAAGGGATGATATGCCCTAGTGTCTTGCCTTTTGCTTCCCATCAACAGGCAGTGCTATAATCTCCAGAATGGCAACACACCCTGGAATCATGTGGTAACTCCCACAGATCATGGCCAATAGCCCACTAGGAACTCATCTGACTGAAATTTCAGAGTCAGTCTCCTAAAGATGTTTATGTGGTGCCAAAGTACTCTGATAAATGAGTCAAAACCATAATCTCACTGGCACTATGTGGAGTGTTGGGGCCTTGTGAAGATGTGGTGAGTTACCTTAGAATCCTCCTGAGAGGGAAGTTGCTCTCTCTTCTCCTTCAAGCATGTCACAGCATCCGGAGTCTCCTCTCCAGAGGAGCTTGGCTCAGGGCCCACAGCTTCCGGCTTCCCATCATCTCTGGGGGCTATGGGTTGCTCACAGGACAAGTTTCTAGGTGGGCCTTTGGAAATACTCCCTTGTTCCTCTGACAGCTTCAGCTTTAATTCTAAGACAAATGCCATGAGTTATCATGAGTGAGGATGACTCACTGGCCCTAGTAAGAGCAGAGATCTTTTCAGGAATTCCCTCCCCTGATGCCAACTCAGTGGAAATGAACAGTGATGATGATGACTTTCCATGGGGCAAGGACAGCCTTAATAACCAGGGCAAACAGCCTAAGCTCCAAATCAGATGTGAAAATAGAGGGACCTCATGGAGGCTGGGATCTCATGGAGGTGGAGGAAGATCAGTGGTACCTAGCCCCAAGTTTCCATCTGTCACCTACCAGAGTACCTGAAATTCTACACTCAAAGATTCATTTACTTAGGTTTTCAAAGTTTTGTGGTCATTAAGAGCCTCTGTGGAAATGCAAGTACTTTTAGAAGGCATTACACATGCAGACATCTGAGGAAATACAGGAGGGATGGGAAAGCAGAGATGCAAGTGCCAGCCTCAACTTAACAGATTTCATAAGCTTTTAAAATCTAGGAATCATCATTATTGTAATGTGGCTTTACATAAAGCTACATAATTTAAAAAGCCACCTGGGACTTATCGGGGAATTACATTTCAGAATATGTTAGGGGACAGGTTGTTTGAGTGAGGTTATTTATATTGATTTCTCAATTACATAGCTCATTTTCTTTGTTCGATGTTTGTTTTTAGACTCTGGCATGATGTTTAAACACTGCATATTTTATAAACCTGTTACATCGTTACAGTTTAATACCACCGAATTAATATTCCCTTCCAGTTCTTTAATCATCATCCTTGAAATTTGGAAAAACTCCCATGTCTCTAAGTATTGAAATGAGTATGAAGAGAGGAAGAGAATAACATTTTATTGGTAAATAACCATAGTCCTTTAAAATTGATGTTAGAATTAATTAACACTCACTCCACCATCACCAGAGAGACAGAGAAAGAAGAACGCTAGATTAAGATGCAAGAGAACTGAGTTCTACACCTAGCTTACCACACTGCCCAGCTATGTAAACTTTCCCTCTCTCTGGACATAAATGTCCTCATCTATGCAATGATTGTGGAGTAAATGACTTTTCAGGCTTCTATTTCTAACTTCCAAGAATCCAATAACCCAGGAAAGTTAATGCTCCACATGTTGAAATGTTCCTGGCACTGAAGTAAATCATTCCACTTGATTTATTAAATTCCAAAGATTTATTAAATGAGGCCAAACAGTGAATGGGACCTAGGAGCCTTTATTTCAAAATAGGGCCTCCAATCTAGGTGGGAAAAAAGGTTAAAGAGAGCACAGGTGGGAAAAAATAAAAAACTTCTTGGAGAACATTATCATTATTTTAACTGCTTTTTTTTTTTTTTTTCTCAGAAAAGAGAACCTTGGCTGGCTTTACCTTTGAGCTGTTTACGACCTTTAGCCAAATCATTCATCCATTTCAGGACTTCAGGATTTGAAGTCTTGTCACCATGTGAAGGCTACCGAGGGAGGGAGAAATGGGGGTGGAGGGGAGGAGGAAGAGGAAAAGGGGGAAGTAAAGAGAAAAAGAAAAATAATTATTTAACAGCTAAGTTTCATTGAGATAGTTCAGGAAGAAAACATAAAGCTGGGAGAAAAATTCAGGAGTAAAAACTCCAACTAATGAAGTTGCTTCTGAAAAACAGAGCAAATGTTCTTGACCTCCTCTCCACACTTTCGTCTTTGTCGTGGACATTGTTTCTAAACAGCCCTGGTCACCCAGCATTTCACAATCCTAACCATGCCAATGCCTTCTAGATTCTAACCCTCAGTCACCTTGTGGGCCACCTACAGCTCACACCTCATTGCCAGGCCATTCTTTATTGATGTAGATGACTACACTGATACAAACCAGCACTACTCCCTTGCCTGTGCTCACATACATGGCTTATGACTACAAACTGCCTGGGGAATACCGACAAACTGGAAAATTTAGCCCCTATCAGACATAACCACCAAGCTGATGAAAGGACTCTAAGACCTCTAAAACCTGACAATAGTCTAAGAAGTCAGTATGTCAGGGAGATACCCAGATTTCTAATCCTCTCACTGCTTATAGACTCAATATCCTACTGGGCTAACCTTAAAATGAAACTTAATCATATGTGTGTGACCTTGAGCAAATTATTTCGCCTCTCTATGCCTCTATTTCATTTATCAAATATAATAGCACCTTCCTCATCAGGCTGCATAACACTGAAAATAGTTTCAGGCATATGCTAAACACTATAGATGTGTGAGTTAGAATTATAAATATTATTATTGTTATTACTGACAGTGATGATAGGTAGTAGTGTTACTGCCAGACCTTCAAAGGAACACTGAATAGGTCTTCACTAACAAATGCATAGGGGTATGTATGTCTTACCAGGTGGCTAATCACACTAAGATGTGACAATAAGAATACATTTTTTATTTTAGAAGGATATGACTCTGTTAATACAAATCATTCACCTCAATTTCTGAATTTCTTCACAGAGCAGAAAAACTGATTTTCTACAGAAAAGAAAAACTAGAAGAGGATAGCCAAACATATTTAGCCTACACCCCGTAGGATCAGTAAGAAACTTCCTTAAAAGAGTTGAGGTCACCCAGTAACTTAATTGCAGGCTCAAGAAGATTAATGATTACTTTGAATTGAGGACATACAAGGAACTATACAGTAATGCTCCAGATGACATAATCATAAACATCATAATGATAGCCAGAAATGTGTGCACTGTTAGTGACTAAGTCTAGGGGCTCTGCCATGTTTAAGGATCCACTAAATCCATGTAACATCAACAAGTTGTTGGTGAGAAAGAAGCCTAGGGAGAGGATCGTGTTTCTCTCAAGTTCAAAGGAAAAACAGTGCTTGTATGACAGGATCATCAAATGTACATGGGATTAGATATGTTAACTGTGAAACATGAGACACTTCACTTCAGAATTTTGTAAAAAACATTAATTTGAAAATCAGGATGAAAAAGACGATTGAAGGAAAATGAGTGATATTTTTCCTAGGGTTGGTTTCAGGACCGTGGACAGTGCCCCAAGTGGGCACTCCTCCAAAATACGGAGCTTAGCTGGGTCCTACCCATGGCCTTCTAGGATAATGCACTGTGATACTTCTTTGATATATAATCTATTACTTTTGCTGTGGGTAACAATCTGGTTATATGGTCAATGTTTTGCATTTGGTTTCTCTAAATCCTCACAGAATTCTCCACTCTGGTCTAAACACACACCATGTTCTCTGGAACATGTCTTTCTCACTGTATATACTTCACATAATTAAAGCCATCTTTCAAAATACTGTTAAAAACTAAAACAAAAATCTAAGACTCTAAGCCAATAACCACTAAATAAATGAGCTTTCACTACTCAAACAGGACTTAGAAATTTAAGGCTAAATTTTCTGACAAAATATATTTTTTAATTTTTTTATTTTTAATATATTTATTTTTTATGGTGACACTGGTTAACAAAATCCAATAAGTTTCAGCTGTACATTCTAACAATAAGGCATATATATATTTATACTGTGTGTTCACCTCCCATAGTTAGATTTCTTTCTGTCACCACATATTTGACCCCCTTTACCCTCTCCCCCATCCCCTGTAGTAACCACTAGTCTATTGTCCATGTCTATGAGTCTCTGTTTGTGTGTCCTGTTCATTTGTTGCTTTTAGGTTTATATCCCACATATAAGTGATATTATGTGATTTTCAATTTTTCTGTCTGGCTTATCTCGCTTAGCATGATTATCTCGAGGCCCATCCATGTTGTCACAAATGGCAGTATTTCATCTCTTCTTATGGCTGAGTAATATTTCATTGTATATATGTACCACAGCTTCTTTATCTAATCATCTATCTGACAAAATATTTTAAAGCTTGAAATTTTTTGAAATGAATTTTTAATTTCCCCTCTCCTACAGAACTTTCAAAAGAGGTTAAATCAAGCTCACAAGGATAGCAGCTTTCAAATCACATGGAAAGTTTTCATACACAAGGTGTGGATCTTCATGCCTTCTAACTTCTGAACTGAATAATTCTAGTTTAATAGACACCTAAGGACCATACACCCAGAAATTATGCAGTGCAGATTTTGTTCAGTGTAATTAAAATGGGGATCCCGAGTCACTGGATCAGATTTTTGGTCTGCCAAAGACAGTTCAAAAGACACTTTAGAAGGATTTCTGATTTAGAGATGAAAAGAGTTGTCATCTTGGCTGCGTCAATTCTTTGCTGTATGATCCTGGGGAAGTCACTTCCCTTCTCTGGGCCTCAGTTTCTTCAATGGCTAAATAAGTTATAAGACTGGCTGACCCTTTCTAATTCTAAGATTCTCTAATTCCACTGAAAGTGGCCATCTGGCTAAAACAGCCTTTTTCAGGTCCACAATTTTAATGATAGTTAAATGTAAAATCACTTGATGGGAATAAACATGGTTTCAGATAGGAATGTGAAATGGTTACATTCAACAGAGAGGGAAAGATGTTATATTGTACCAGGGTATCAGACTAGCACAGAGGCCTGGCAGTGCTAGCAATTCCACAGGCAGGTCACCAGGAAGGAAAGCCTTACATAGAGCAACCAATTAAAGCCTACTGACAGGTCAAACCTCTAAGTACAGCCTGGCACTCTGACAGGAAGGGTGAGGAGAAGCCCTGTTTCCTGACACATAGAAGGTTCTGATTACTTCTATGTCTTTCCTGAGACATAGTAATCAGAACCTTCTATGTCTCAGGAAAGACACTTCACTTCAGAAGTGAAGTAGCAGTGAAGCCTTCTTCCCTTACTGAAGTAGCAGTGAAGCCTTCTTCCCTTACTGCTCCTGGATCCATCCATTTGCATGCATGAGTGTTTCAGTGTGTGGACATGTGTCTGCTCTGACTCAAAGCTTCTCTAGACAAAGGCCAGAGGTGCCAGAAGAAATTCTCTTCCAAAATAGGCAGCTGATGGGTGGTTGTTATAGTTAAGAAAAGTAATCCAGGGTCTGTGGCTGCAGGTAAAAAAGGCCTGCAATGGATAATTAATGTATATAATTTTCCTTCAATAAGGCAGAGGCTGCCATGAGATAGCCTATTCAAATATCACTCAAATAGATTAAAATGTTAACATTATCTAGGACTGCTTACTTCCTTTATGCCAAACATTATAATAAGCATTACATAAGCACTCCTTCATTTAATACTCACAAACTTCAGAGGTCACTACTAATATTAACTCCACTTTACAGGTGGATAAACTGAGAATCAGAAATGTCAAGTACCAAGTTCAAAGTCACAAAGTTCCTAAGTGGCTGGTGCTAGATTCAAATCCAGATCAGTCCGATTCAAGAACTGCCAGAATTATTAACAGGCCCTGGGAATGAAGCCTTACTTGTTTGTTACACTACAGTTTCCAATGTGAGGACATCCCAGGTCCAATAACACCACAGCATCAAACAGGGAAATTCAGTGTGTCTCAGAATGACCAGAGCTTTCAAAATGTGGACACGTATGGATTTTACTTTTACTCCTCCATTGTGAAAACTACTCATCTTTAATCAACCACTCAAGCTTGAGCTAATAGAGCATGACCTTAGGCAAGCTATAAGTTTTCGCTGGGCCTCAGTTTCTTTATCTGCACTCCCAATGTGTTGAGCACCCTCCTGCCCTATAAGAGAAGAATCTGCAACACTCTTAGGTTGTCCTACAAGTCAATCTGATGATATGTCATCCATTTTGCAAAGCTAAAAACCAGTCCTTAAACTCTCTCTTTTAATGAATTTGAAGCCACTGTGGGAAACACAGACAAGAAAACAAGAGAGTGGTATATTACCCATTCTCACCTCCCTTGCCAGAACTTATCCCACACTCACAGAGACCTTCCGATTACCTCTGTACCAGGTGCTTAGTGACACTTTAAATATTTCAAGATGTATAAGACAGTATTCTCGGTTCTCTTTTATTCTAATAGGAAGCTGTTCTGGGCCCCCTGCCAGAGACCCAATACTTTTGTGCAGTTCTACATGAATATGATTTTTCTCTATGCCATAGTCACCATTAAATAAAATAAATACAACTAGCATTGGCTATCAAGACACCTCTGACTCCACTGTTTCTTATGCAAGAAATAAAAAAGTTTTATGGTTGCAACCTTCAGCATGAGCATGAAGCCAGTGTTTCTCTGACAGAAAAGGATGGATCGGGGTTTATTCTTATAGTGGTGTTAAAAGATATCACTTGAGAGGTTCATCAACCAAGAATTACTTTAATGCCAAAGAAAACTCTTCCTCGTTCTGTTCAGTAATTGGAAATCCTGCTCTTTGGGTCCTCAATAGGTTCTTATCAAAATGCAAATGGGAATGGGTTAAAGAAAAAATAAGACCATAATTCAAAAGCTTTCCAAATTCAAGTCCTAGGAACACTAGTGAAGATATCACTTGAGAGGTTCATCAACCAAGAATTACTTTAATGCCAAAGAAAACTCTTCCTCGTTCTGTTCAGTAATTGGAAATCCTGCTCTTTGGGTCCTCAATAGGTTCTTATCAAAATGCAAATGGGAATGGGTTAAAGAAAAAATAAGACCATAATTCAAAAGCTTTCCAAATTCAAGTCCTAGGAACACTAGTGATAGTAAGGTTCCTCATGGGGGGCGGGGGGGAGGGCGGGGGGAAGAGAGAGGAACAATGATCATATCAGTTTGGAAATAAGAGTTGTAATGAATTAGTAGGAGCTATCAACTGACAGCATGTGAAAACAAGACAGAACCAGGATGGGAACTCAATTTATGACAGGTCCTAGGTTGGCCAATGGAAACACAGGGCTACCCCCTCCCCCCAAAAAAGGACAGAAAAGCCCACTCATCTCTTGACAATAATCTATGTTCTTCTTATATTAAACCCTACGGTTTTTACCCGGTATTTCTTTTCTTGTTCAAATTTTTCTTCAAATTTCCGAATTTTCCGCTTGAGGCTCTGGATGTGCTTGGTGAGTTGGGCAATGGTCTGTGGCTCCTTACTATCACCACAGCTGCACCGTGAAGAACTTCGGGGCCTGCAATGATATAGGGAGGGAAAGAATCACCAAAACAATGGTCTTCCAGTAAATACTGCTGCTGGTCTACAAACCACGCTTCCTAGATTACCAGAGAAGTCCAGAGGACAGTTTATTATTTGATTAGTCTCTTATGGCAGCATCTGCTCATTAATGGAGACCCCTGATCACAGAACTTCATTATGGGCAAATTTCATCAGGGATTTTAGTGTACAAAAGTCAGAATATTAGTCCAGGAAGTGCATTTCCTAAAGCTTGGAGGAGACCAACTTAAGACTAAAAAGAGACAGCTCTGTTGTAGCATTATCCTCAACAGAATGCATGAGCCACACTTACTGACATTTTCAAAGAAGATTTAGGTGAGGAGCTAACTTTTCCTGACATGACAGAGCATTTGCAAATCTGATGAAAGAAATGGGCCTCCTCTCCAGAAGATGCACTTACCCTCTCACATTACACACACTTTACGTTAGCAATAATTCGCTAACTTCCTGAAGTCTATCAATATAGAGTCCATGGACCTAGGTTTGAATAAACTCATGAATAGCAGCAGGATTTATTAAAGAGAAACTAGAAATGCCCTGCATGTATTTTTAACCAAATGTATCTCATTTTAGCTTTGCATCAAAATTCTCTGTAGAAATTACACACAAAAGAAGGAAAGAACATATAGTTCTACTTCTTTTGGTGGGGGGGAGGGAGAGGAGCTGGGTCAGCTATTGTAAGCTATCACTTTTCTAGAATCTAAGAAAAATCTAACTATTGCCACAATCCATCTACTAAGCCCACTGTCAGACACGGAAAGAATATTGAGCTCATCAAAAATGCTACTCCCGACATTTACTTAGCACTCTGGTTATTTCACCAAAAATGGTCAAATATGAAGGCCTGAAACAGCAGTCCCATCTAGAAAGTACACTGATTTTCACCATTTATTGTTCAGGTCTTACAATTGCATTTAGTAGGCATGTCTGCACTATTTCAGACAAAAACTTGATTGCAGTTTGTAAACATAGTATTTTTAAAAAACTATAAAATGAAGATAATAACAAAACAAGGTTTTCTTACATCATAAACTGCTGAGTGCTGGGTGGAGAAGGGGCTGATTCAGGATCTAAGTTGAATCTCTGGCTTTGGCTGAAAATGGAGCATCGCGGTGACAGCAGGGGGTTGTCATCATCAGTGATGTGATAGAGCAGCCGGCTGGGCCCGACAGACTGGGGGTCTTCTGGTGCACTGTCTGCTCCATTCTGACCATCTTTATAGACTGGTGCAGGGTCTGTGGAAACAGGATAAATCATCAAGACTTAGAAGTGGCAGAGGGCTTGAGACTGTCATGTTCCTAAATAAAGATCATCAACATTCATTATAATGTCTTGCCTCTTTGTCATTTCTTCCTTCTGGGGATATGAAAGGCTTTCAAAATACTGTCATGTTTGTTCTCATAGAACCTGGATAAAAAACATTACAAAGCCCCAACAACAAAAAAATGGAAACAAATTATTTCAGTATGAGTCATAGAGTCAGCATAGCCCCAAACTACACAGCCCCATCCTCTCTTTATGTCATATCATTTGCATACGTTATAGAGTGTATACTACAAAATGTTAAGTGCAAAAAAAAAAAAAAAAAAAAAAAGAAAGAATAAATTGGAGCTAGAAAAAAAAAAGACGATAGATTATAAGGAAGAAAAGAGATAACAGACTCGCCAGGGAAGGAAGAGAGAGGAGAAAACAAAAGAGAAAGGGAGGAGTCCCTAGAATAGAAAGTTATTCAGCAGCCATTAAAAATGATGGTGAACTCTGCTTATCAACATGGAATGATTTTTCAGAATATGCTAAGTAAAAACCACATATTTAAAAACAAAAGAGTAATGATTCCATTTTATATACAAAAGCATAGATTTGTGTACAAACAAATGCACTAACAGATCAAAGAAGCTACCTAACAACGACAAAGCATGGAAAAATTAGGAATGATTCTGTTTCTCCTCCAAAATCTTAAGTAGCATTTTTACCTTGGACAAAAATAAAATACAGGGGAAAAAACCTGCTCCAAACCCTCTCTCCGACTTAGGCATCTCTGTGCCTAAATTTTCCCTGTGATCATTCATTCTCCTTTTAAATGAGTTCATTAGCTCCCCACCCCAGAATCAGCCCAGAAGTGGGCATTCCGTGCTACAGAGGTGAGGGCACAGAAGTGAGGAACAGGAGGACACTGAGTCAGGATGGCCAGGATAAGAGTCTCTCCATCACAGGGCTCTATACAGAGTTATTCAAGCAGCAGCCAAAACAAATTCCTCAGATCTACCCAGAAAACAAGTCAGGACAACCCAAGGCTTTCTTTTACTCCTTCTACTCCAAAGAAAGAGGGAAACAGAGATTTTCTGGGTGAATAAGCGGAATCTGAAAATACTGACGATCCACTTTTCCAAAATAAACATTGATCACAGTTTGGTACTGGATGAGTCTTAAGCAGATTTAGAATGGCTTGGGTTCTCTAGAGCTTGAAATGCAATTTGCTTTGTGTAACATCAAAGGTCTGATTAGGTCCTTGTGTGTTTTCAGTCGGCTTCTTTCCTGTTCGATTATAGACTGAGAGGGTGGATAACACCTTCCCTTGTGCCACCGAAGCCCAATGACAGCACTTCTGTCAGTGGCTGAGGCTAGTCGGAAATGGATAGGATGAGGGCTGGGAAAGAGCTGGAGCTAGATGAATGCCAAGGCCCAGGCCCACAAGCAAGGTGTGCTGCTGTGACTGACAGAACCCACCATAGGCAACCCCTGCTAAAAATAATTTACCCAGAAAATACTGCAGTTTTGCAGGATCCCTAAAGAGTAACAGCAGTAAAAGTTAATAATCAATAAATCACAGCATATACTAACGATCACCTACCTACCAGGAGGCATATGGATTCCTTACCAAGTCCTTTTCTTAAACTATTAATTAGACTTAAACCATTGAAAGAGAAATGCATTTTATTTATATTACCTGTTAAGGGGCAGTATCATTTGATGATAATGACGGGGAAGAAAAGAATCTTTAGCAAGACCCTGGGATGAGCATATTTTCCCTGAAATCAGAAAGGTGTGAGGCCTTCAATTCTTCAGCTCAGCTGTGGCCCCAGAGTCAAACTAATGAGTTTCTGGGTGCTGTTTTATAATGCCCAGATGGAAGCATTGGGTTGCCAGCCATATGACTGTAGTGGAGGAAAGAAAAGAGCTCAGCTCTGAAACCCACTGCACTGCAATAGTAACTGTAAACCTCCACTTACATGGCATCTGTTTCCGTAGGCTTTCAAATAATTTACCAGTGTTGCCCAATTAACATCCTGATCCTCTTTTCCCCAACTCACCACTGAAGGCAGCAGTGAGCCAAAAAGACCCAAAGCAACCAGATGGAAACCAACAAAGACTCAAAAACTCGTAATTTTGTAGCACCTTAGTTCTCTGTCCAAACTCACCACTTGAGCTGAGAAGGGCTTAATTAAATCAGCTGGTGCGTGTATATGTGTGTGCATTTGTGTAGACGGAATTATTGAGTTCCTTGTTCAGAAGAGGCCAGCATAGATTCAGAGCCAGCCACCGCTGCTGCTATCCCGGGAACAGCGCCCAGGCCACCACTTACAGGGAAAAGCTTATGGCAGTATTAAACTCGGGTGGCTTCTGATGGTTCCCTGGGGGCACATTATTTCTTCTTCCAAAGGAAAGAACAGCTTGCCAAGGCCTGTCGTGTGATGCAGTGTGGTTTAGAGAGGGTCTGGGAGCCAGGAGTCTGGGCGTGCCTGTACTCACTTGTGGGGCTCCAGCGGGTTCACCGACCCCTCTCAATGTTCTTGTTTGGCCCATCTCACAGGGCTATGATTGAAAAGTGAAAAGGGATCTGCTGTATATTATGTCTATAGCTAACAATACTGCACTGTACATTTTAAAAGCTATTAAAAATGTAGGTCTCATTTAAGTGTTCTTACCACAATAAAAAAAATTTATTTTTCTTTCTTTGTATGTTCTAAAATTTCTGTAACAGATGTCTTAATTTTATAAGAAAGAAAAAACAATAAAAAAATTACATAAAGACTTAAAAAAGAAAATAAGCTTTGCTAAGAAGTGAGAAACAACCCCAGGGGTGACATAATAGAGAGCAAAGATGGTGAGTTTGAATCCCAGGTACACCACTTTTAAGAGAGACCTCAGAAATGATGACCTTCATAAAACTCAGATTTTACATCTGTAAAATGGGGATAATAATGGTGCTGCCTCATAAGACTAAGTGAGAATGATATGAAACTGTATCTTCTACAAATTTTTGCCATATCCACATAAACTTTTGTTTACTATATAAGTATATATAGTAAAGAAGTACATATTATATATATACATATATATATAAAGTTATACATTTACTATGTATTTTAGATAGATTTCAACCTACAGCTTTTTAAAATTTCAGCTTCATCCTGGGCCATGATGGCCAAGAAATCATGAATTTAATGTGCTAGTTACATTTTTTTTTTACTAATACACATTAAAGTAAATTGCTATTTAAAATAACACTATTCACCCAAGTATAGCATATGTATTTGGTGAAACATCAAGAAGGCATAGAAAGTACTAAAAAAAGTACCATAAAAATCATCATTTTAATAATTAATATCATCAAAATAAGAAAGTGAAATGTTACTTTCTCTTACTGAAGCTATACTAGGAGTCTCAATGGGGTTCATATTTGAAATGAGACCTAACATGCCCGTGAACACATTGTCCTTACCAGTTATTTATAAATAACTGGTATATTTATAAATAAGAATAATAGTCATATGCACCATTTATGGAGTGATTCTCTATGTCCTCAGGGTTGTAAGAATTTTTGCATGTATTTAATCTTCATAAAACCACATGAGGCTGGCAGTGATCTCCATTTTAAATTCCATAGGGAAGGCGGTGTGACTGTGTTAATGCCTTTTGAACAGTGTCCGTGATAGAAGACTCCACATCCCTGACCCTGGGAGTTGAAGAGTGTTTTTAGTGGCTCACTCATTGAGCAGTAGGGGACATAGAGAAGATAATTATCATTAGTGTGTGAAGGCCAAGAGACCACTTCTGATCTGGCTGCAACCCCAGGCAGAAGCAGATGCTGTATTACAGCTGTTAAATGAGTCAGTAAGATTTAAAAATATCTCTTTCTAATGTGAATTTTTAAAGTCTTTCAAAATTTAAGTAAACCTCTATCTGTAGCCACTTGAGATGGACTGCTGAGATCCGAGTATTAAATTAGCCAATCTTGTGGATTTGTTAATTTGCACTCTTGGGTTTGCTCACCATGGTGAGCTCATAGGTGGCATTTAGGTACATCCCAAAATGCCAAACATTAGCCTCGGTTGGTTTTAAAAGCTAAATGAGCCAAAAGCATGTGCATGATTGTAACGAGGCTTAAGCATTAGAGTCCTCAGCCAGCCTCACACAAAGAGAGCTGCCAAAACAAAAATAAGAAACAATCCCAAAACATCTAATGGATACACAATGGCTTCTGTTTGGGGTATGTAGAATTTGAGCATCTGAAGGCATTAAGGGGCTAGCTATGAGGTCACAGAGAGAGAACCCAGAGAAGCCTGAAGTCATTTCAATAACTAAGCCTGGGAAAACAGATGGGCTTGCTTGCTCACAGGCCACTAAGAGAGGAGAAGTGCTATCTCCAAAGTTAGGATGGACAGGTTAGGAATGAGGACAAATGGGACAGATGAAGAGGGATTCGGATTGGTGAGGCTGACCTAGTTATTGAGCGGGGGAAGGCTGGCATTCTAAGCAGGCTTCTGTGTGCCAGCTTCTGTGGATGCCCACTAGAAACATCAGGGAGCTAGAGGGGTAGGAAATTTGTCACTGTGAAAGCAGGGCTTTATGACAGGTGCCCTGCAGATACCAAGAGGCAGTTTGCCATCATGCGTAAAGGCATGGGCTATAGACTCAAAAACACGTAGATTCAAATCCCAGTTTTATCATATGTGTGACCTGAGACATTTTATTCAGTCTTTTTCAATATGAATTTCCCCATCTGTATAATGGGAATCCATTCATTCAACAAAGGTTTATTGACCACCTACTGTATGCCAAGTCCTGTTTTAGGTAAGAATGATAACAGAATCTTGTAAATTGTGGAGAGGATTTTAAAGAAGATAAGGAAACTCAAGTGCTTAGGACAGTACCTGGGGTCATGGGGGTGTGCATAATAATCCGTTAATAAATGTTAGTTGTTGTTGTTTTGCATTTAATGGTGGTATCTTTT